TTGATCTGTGACATAAATGTCCTTTCCAAATAATCTAAGATGAGATTGATGAGGCGGCAAACCTTCTATAAATATTTATTTACATATATGTTTGTTAAGTTATTTTTCTCTTTGTATAGCGGTAAAACTATGGGTCAATTTTGCTTAGGTTTGAACGAATGGTCAAAAATCAGCAGTTATACAAAAAGAATTATTTTTTCGAGAGAAAAGAATATAAGGAAAATTAATCTGAGACCCAAATATAGGCGGTGACGGGGATATTAATAAAGTACCGGGGAAATAAAGACTGGTGGGACTGGCATATTGACTAAATTTCAATGAAAAAATTTCAAAGAAAAATCTCTTTAAAATGTTAAATGTTTTTTTTATTTTTTAAATATGTATGCCTTGGAAACCTTATATTATTAGGGTGTAACATAAATAATTAGCCCCCCATGTGATAAGTGGTTTAAATAATTATTAAAATTCAACTAAATGTTTCAAGACTTCGAATTATATTTTTTTATAATCCTAAGAGAGTTGCCTATTTTCTGGCAAAAAATCAGAATCATAGGATTAGGTTGTCAGGAGTTAGAGGTAAAATACAAAAACTTGTATTTTTGAAAAAAGACAATTTCTTTTTGATTTATCTCTGCAAAATTGATGAGTAAGAATAAAAATTTAAATAGATTCTGATAGAGCAGAATCTGTTGAATACAATGATATAAGAAATTTCACTGGAAAACAACTGGCTGATTTTTTAGAGGGTCGCATTTGTGAAATAGGGGCTAGCATTATGCTGTTTTAGGATAACCCTCGCGCGAAAATGCCTAGCGAGGCCAGGCGACCAGATTTTTCGATGGACTCGATCTATATGGGAATAATACAATTTGGTGGTAATTGTTTAGCCAGTTTAAACTAAATTCCAATGATTACCCCGCCGCGACACCACCAAATACATAACAGATCACGCTGTTGGACCAGTCTGGTTTGGAGGTCGAGACTGATGGTTAGCTGTGATGAGCCGTTCCTTTTTATTTACAGAATTCATGAAGACAACCCACTCCACCTTATAGGCTAAAATTTGTTTCAAATAAGGAGCTTCATTGTGGCATTTAAGGGATTGTTTTGCAAAAGTGACTTAGCGATTTTTTTGATTTTGCGGTAATTCATGGGGTATCAATCGACCCTTCATAACTTGTTTCCCGCTTCAAGTAAAATTATGAAAATTTTTGTAATTGAGCAGGTGAGTGCCTGCCCTAATATACACATTTTATTTTTTGGATTGGCTTTGATTCAGGGGAGAACGGCATTCTTATCTATCGTTGATTGGCATCCAAGACGTTATTTGTCTTTCAGCTCCTCTCTACCTTTCTTTTATTTGGAGGACAAACTTTTTTACGTGGAATACAAGATAACATCTCCTTACTTCGATTAGCATATTTTGCGCCATGATTCCTTTTCCGAATATCCAAGTTCAATCTCATCTTTGAGGTGAACACTAATTTCTTAATTTTGCCTTGATCTTTAAAAATTCATAAAAAAATTTGTATGTTGAGAAAAAATTTCAAATCTTTCAGAAAATGAAGAAGGCATCATTAAGAATATATGACGAAAAAATTAAATAGATTGGAGATCTGAACATTGAGATATAAAGCTTAAAATGTACATGCTTTAAGGGGGGCTAAATATTTATGTTACACCCTAATATAAACCCATATTTGTAAGTATAAAAGACTAAAAGGCAAATCTAAATTTAATTTTCATTAGAAGTTTGCCTTCAATTAAATCACCTTCATTTTCAAAATTTTCTTGATTTGTTGTAAATCCTCCTTGATGTGGATATCCTGCATAACCAGAATGTTGTTGCCCTCCTTGGTGTGTGTAAGTTGAATAGTCAAAATGATGATGCCCTTCGGATTGGTATACGGGATGAGCAAAATTTAGTTGTCCTCCTTCTGGAATTTATTGAGGATAACCTCCCTCGTGTAGATTTGTTGCATGACCAATCTTTAAAAAATAAAAGTATTTTCAATAAACTGTTCAATGTTTTCATTTAATTAGAATTCCTCTTTTAAATTATAGCCTTCTCTCTTTACTTATTATTTTATTGCTAAAATTACGTCATAGTATGTCTCGGAAAGTCGAAAGAAATCTGAGTACACTACTATTTTCCCAATAGTTATTCATGGGAAAACTTCGATCAAAAATTCAAATAAAAAATATTCTTACAGTAGCTTCATTATCAGGATTACTGCTGCCAGCACATTGTTTGCTTTTTTCGTGTAAATATTTGCCCTGCCGGGACTTAAAAGTCTAGAAAATAAAGAATTACTTTCTTTTTTGGTTTCGTTAGTTGAAAAAGTTTCTGAAAATTTTCTGAATTCGATTGGCCTTTTCAAAAGCTTCATCAATTCCTCCTCATTTTCAATAAATAAAATTTTATTCAAAAAATATATAATTAATTACCTTCTCACAATGAGCACATCTATACGTTCCGTTCCGTTCCGTACATCCGTTCCATTCACATTTGGCAGAATAAACACTCCTTAATTTTTTAAATTAAAATAAATTATTTCTATTAAACCTTGGTTTTCCATTAATTCTTGTCCTCCTACATTCATTTGTTGATGTTGAGGTGAAAATAAATACGGATGATTGCCTAAATCTTGATTCAAATTTGACAAAGTTTGAAAAGTTTCTAGGCCAGAAGGATTCACTTCTTGAGTGTATCCTTCAGTATTTGAGGGCATGCTTCCTGTTCCGGTTCCTACATTACCACTAGTTCCTGTTTCGCTTGTTTCGGCATCACGGTATCGAAAAGGATTGAAATAATGTTGTCCATCCTTTCCATAATTTCTTTTAGTTGAATTAACAAGATCAAGTATAAGAAATAAGCAAAAAAGCAAAAATATTGAAAGCTTCATTGCTTACTGAAATTGTTTTAAATAATTTTAGAATTAAAAAAATTTTGTTTATATTTTTTAGATGAGCAATATAAGCAATGAAAATTATACAGCGGCGGAAATTTAGTCATGGGAGATTTTATAGAATTAAAGTGTATATACGGAATATACATAAGGTGATTCGAGGGATTATATGTGTTTCAAGTTAATTTAAGGACAGTTCCCGAGTTCGAGTTCTAGAGAAGTAGTTGATGTAATAGAGTGTCATTTTTCAATCTAATAAAAAATATTTTCTAAGTAAAGATAAAGATAATAAAAATGGGGCCGATAATGCAATAATAATCCTCTCTCAGTTATTTCAATAAACATCGCCCAACTTTAAGTAGAATTACATGTACGAATTTCGAATGAGAGTCTAGGACTTCACTTAATTTTTTAATTTGCGTTATGGAGTAAGAAAGCAATTCTATCAACTATTTTTGGACTGTTTATAAAGGTAAATTTTAAGAAGCTGAATAAGTGGGAGTGATCTTCACCATGTAAGTGGGAGTGATCTTCACCATGTAAATGTGACCCATCACCATATAAAAAATCGGAGGAGAGAAAGGAGTTAAGAGAAATAAATAGAGCAGAGATAGATGAAAATGCGCTGCACTTTAATTATGAATTGCCAAGACTTGATTCATGTGATTTTGCGTTAATGTCGATAAAAATACATTTGACGGAAAATAGTCGGATATTTTACAGACTAGATTTTGAAATTATTCGGTAAATGAAGTTTTAGCTGTAAATCTTTAGCATTTATAATAAATCTAAATTTAAAACTCGGTAAAAGAAAAATTGAACACGGCCCAGGACGAAACTTTAAGTAAGAGACATGTTAATATCTTGTGGACCAGGATGTTATATTATATTTGTGTCCAATTACTTACCAATTACTTATTTGTTTAGGACTAAACTTTAATGAGCTTATAAGTGTAACGGCAATAGATTAATTGCGTTACGATAACCAACTTTATTGTTAAGGTTTGCCAGAATATAAGAGAATTTATAAAGTTATAATAACGAAGTTTTCTTACTAGCATAAGTGCATCGTGGAATAGCTGTAGCATAAATATTTAAAAACAAAATTTAAAAATCCGAAAAATAAACTATTTGGTGAAATGTCCTCTTAATCTTAATTTTTGTCAATGGGGGGGGAGTGAAGGGAAGAGAGAGAGATCTCACCCACTTATTCAGCTTCTTAAAAGTTCACTCCCATTTATTCAGCTTCTTAAAATTTACCTTTATAAACAGTCCAAAAATAGTTGATAGAATTGCTTTCTTACTCCTTAACGCAAATTAAAAAATTAATTGAAGTGCCTAGATTATCATTCTAAATTCGTACATGTAATTCTACTTAAAGTTGGGCGATGTTTATTGAAATAACTGAGAGAGGATTATTATTGCATTATCGGCTCCCATTTTTATTATCTTTATCCTTACTTAAAAATATTTTTTATTAGATTGAAAAATGACACTCTATTACATCAACTACTTCTCTAGAACTCGGGAACTGTCCTTAAATTAACTTGAAATACCCTCAAATCACCTTATGTATATCCCGATATACACTTTAATTTTATAAAATCCCCTTTGATTAGGAATAAATTAATGAGAATAGAACTTTATTCATAAAAAATTCTTTTCTTAAAATTTTTTTCTTACCACGCCCTCAACCCCTACAATATTTTTCCCCCTCGACTTGACTAAAAACAATGTGTAATCCTAACCATCATTCCTTCATATCAAAGAATGAGTCGAAAAAAGAAAATTCCCGGATTTCGGGAATTTCCGGGAATTTTAGGATTTTTGTTGTCATTGGAGAAGACAAAGCAAGAGACTTAGGTAAAAAAAACATTTTAAATATGTCAACTGAGAGAGAAATTTAGCTATTTTTTATCTTGAAGAACTGCCTAATCGGATAACGATGAACGGAATTAATTAAAAGTTACCCTATTCTTAACTAAATTTCCGCCGCTGTATAATTTTCAATGCTTATATGTATTGCTCTCTAAAAAATATACATAAAATATTTTTTAATTTAGAAAATATTTAAAACAATTTCAGTAAGTAATGAAGCATTCATTATTTTTGCTTTATTGCTCATTTTTTATACTTGATCTTGTTAATTCAACTAAAAGAAATTATGGAAAGGATGGACAACATAATTTCAATCCTTCACGATACCGTGGTGTCGAAACAAGCGAAACAGAAACTAGTGGTCATGTAGGAACTGGAACAGGAAGCATACCCTCAAATACTGAAGGATACACTCAAGAAGTGAATCCTTCTGGCCTACAAACTTTTCAAACATTGTCAAATTTGAATCAAGATTTAGGCAATAATCCGTTTTTATTTTTACCTCAACATCAACAAATGAATGTAGGAGGACAAGTGTTTATGGAAAACCAAGGGTTAATAGAAATAATTTATTTTAATTTAAAAAATTAAGGAGTGATAGTTATTCTACCAAATGTGAATGGAACGGATGTGGAAGAGTTTTTTCAAATAAAAATGATTTTGTGGAACATGTTAATGACCATGCAAAAAATCAAAAGGTCACTAATTATTTGATAATAAAGTCATTTTCCTGCATAATAAAGTACGTAAAAATGCGCTCTCTTCAGTTAACTTAAAATTTTTAGATTACAATCCGATTTGAATATTTTAATTTTAAGGGTAAATATCGCTACTGTCACTGGATGGGGTGTGATGGAAAGTCAATGTTAACACGAAATTTTCCACAGCATATTAGAACACATACAGGAGTAAAGCCTCATGTTTGCACGGTATTAACTTCAGAAAACTTTTTAGCAAAGATATAAAATATTTCTAGTATGTTGATCAAGATGGTGTTAGTTGTAATAAGGAATTTTCTCGTCAGGAAACTTTTAAAGCACATAAACGTGAGCATACAGGAGAAAAAATTACGTATAAATGTGCTCATGCTAATTGTGATAAGGTAATTAATTAAATATTTTTTTAAATTTAATTTTGTTTTATTGGGAATGAGAAGAAATTTATTGAGAATTTAAAAAAGACCAATCGAATTTCGTTACTAAAATATTCTTCGGACCGCGTTTCGAGACAAATAAAACTTGGGTCAGATAAAAATATAGAATCTTGTTAATATAATCTTTTTTTACTAGAACTTATATTTATGTTTTTCTGCTATTAAATTTTGTGAACTTTTTAGAAGTCAATTTTTTTGTTTTCAATGTACAAAAAGATCATTGAATAAATAGATCGGCAGTAAATAGAACGGTATTCTTGTAGAGCAGGGAAACAGCGAAACGCGTAAAAAGAAAAATTAATTTTTAAATTTTTAGACTTTTTCAAGTATCAGTAGCAAAGCTAAACATGAAAAAATACATAAAGATGAAAATTATTATAGATGTCCAGTATTTATGTGTTCTAAACCATTTAAAAGTTTAACTTCGCAGAAAGACCATGTTTGCAAGGAACATGGAAGATATGTTTGGGATTTTATTATAAAAAATAAAAGAATGAAAAAAGCAAAAAATTATGGGGTAATTGGAATAAGGGAAGATGGAACTCCTTACGCGTTAGTTTTTTTTTCTTAAAATTTCGGATATTTTGTAAGTTTTATTTAAGCAAACCGCTAACGATCTAAGATTTGAAATTTAAAAAATTTCTAAGGTTTAATAAAAAAACCAAATTTCAGAATGCCTGATGGAGCTGGCAGCAGTAATGCAGAACATTATGCAGATGTGAGAATATATTTTAGTTATATGTACATTTAGCTTGTTTAGTAATTACGAAACTTACCATAAACCTTTAATTTTACTTTTGGATTTTAAATTTAAAGATTGGTCAACCAACATTAACCGAAGGAGGACAACAACATTTTGGTTTTCCACCATACCCACACCATGGAAAACAACAATATCTTACACAAATAGCAACAAATAAAGAAGATCATGAACAACATTTAGGCCATACTCAACCTCATTTTAAATTATTTGGAAAGGACATTTATGTTGGAGATCAAGGTGTTTATTCTGAATATGAAATGAGTAAAAATAACATTTAAAACATAAGATTCAGACTATTAAACCTTACATATAAACACATAATCCGTTATGTATTACCTGAAGCATTAGCTGTTCCCCCTCCTATATGAGCCTAATTGAGCTCAATTTTCTTAATCCTCCGTTAAATCTTCAAATCCACCTTGACCTCTCCAAATTCACCGATTATGATGAAATATTTAAAAAATTAATATAAAAATAAAGCCACAGTCCCCAAACCATTAATATAACAAAAATTATATTTTAAATTGTTACTAATTTTTAAATAAAGATGCGACATTTCCTGAATATTTATATCCAAGCACTGAAGAGGAGGAACAACAGAGTAATATTTATATTAAATTTTGTTATACTTTGTGGTAATCTCGATAACCGAAATTTTCTATGAAGATCTCGTCTCGGTCCGGCTCTACAATGTGGTTACCTGCCCACATTTTTCTATCGACATTTTCCTTTTCAAACATACGATAAGATCAGCACACAATACCAATTTTTTACTAAAAATTTTTTTTAATTTTTCAGTGCTTTTACGTGCACAAGAGGAGTCGGCTCGTAATGCTCCTTTCAGATCGAGTAACCTGGCAATTGGTGGTAATAAATTATTTTTAATTTAAATTTGTTGATGCTGAACAATCTTTAATGTCATTTGTTAATCAAATATTTTTATTCCGTATTAATCATTTCCGGAGAAAAATAACAATCATCTCCTAAATAATCTTTCGCTATTTTAAAAATATGTTCGACCATTTAGCTTGGATCGAACACATCAAAGAGACCGTCATGTCAAAGAGCCGTTTAGATCCAGGAAACATTTATCTCCACAAATATCTAACTAAAAAGCCAACTAATAATTTAAATTTTAACATTTAAATATAATACACAAAGAGCACACACGGTTAAGGAGCACAAACGGTCTCTGTGACACGGTTTCTTGAAAAAACAGTTTCTATTGTTTATTAAATTAAATTATAATTTAGCTGGACGTTCACGTCAAAGAGGAGGAGCAAGCCGCCGAGGAAGTTCACGTCCTGAAGGTATTTTATTAACTAAAAAATAAAAATATCTACCAACTCTTGTTATCTAGAGGTTTTTCAGATTTATATTTTTCTAAATAGCACGTTTTTTTGAATAAATGACAATAAAAGTTACATACAGAATTATAACATTTATTCACAAAAATTAAAATTATCAATGAAATAATTTTTAGAAAAGAATATTTGTAAAACATTTAAATTAAAAATAATTTTTACAGATAGAGGAAAGGGTAAAATGGATGACTAACGAGATGAAAATTGAGTATTTGATGGGAACTTGGTTACTGATTATTTGAAGTTTAAACAAATTAACAATGAAAACATTGTTTTTTTTGTTATTGTAGCAACAAATCTATACGAGACTTTCCTTTAAATCTTTACTATTTTTATTACTTTTCCTGTGATTATCAATTGGTTTTCATTTTATTTCGGATTTGGTGTTATTTTATATTGGGATCCGACTGCTTCAACTTATATAAACCTTGTTAACCCAAATACTTTCCTTTAGATCTTTAATATTTTTATATTTTTTCCCTTCAAATTAGCAATCTGTCTTTATTTTATTTTGGATCATATTTTCGGTTAAAATTTTACTGGATCTGTCAAATGGGAAAATTAGATGTAAAACTAGATAGATAATATAGTCGGATCTCAACATTGATTAGCCATTATATGACCAACAAATTTTAGAATTATCAAGATTTTTCAAAATTTTGGGCATTTATATTTAAATCCTTTCTTTTCTGTTTTTATTTCCTAGTTAAAATTCTAGAGTGATTTGTTTCTGTTGGGAAGGTTAACAGTAGATCATACATACAGTCAGATATCTGCACTTATTTCATAATTTAGGCTTATTCATTAACCGTGTTAACCGTGCAATTAGAATTTAAAATCTTTATTTGCTGTGTATTTATCAAGAATTTGTTAAATCTTAGAGTGACATTCGGAGTCATTTGTTACCAGCACATTTGGCATTAACAATTGACATCCACTTGAAAAAATATGACAGCACATTAAGTAGAACACATATTCCGAAATCAAAAAACTTTTCGAAAAGGGAGGGATGAATGTCCGGGAATTACTCGCCAACGCCCCGGAAGAAATAAAGAAGTTACCTAAAGAAGATATAATTGACAAAGAATACTGCAAACTGCTCGGACTAGGATGGAATATAAGCAAAGACGAATTCCAAATTAAGTTCCCGACCTATAAAGAAGAAAAAGTAACCAGAAGAAAGGTATTAGCGCAAATTGCCAGACCTTTTGACCCGCTTGGATTCGGAGCGCCAGCCATTGGATTCGGAGCGCCAGCCATGGATTCGGAGCGCCAGATTCGGAGCGCCAGCGCTTGGATTCGGAGCGCCAGCCACCTTTTGACCCGCTTGGATTCGGAGCGCCAGCTCCGACAAGAGATTGAAAGAGAAGGAAAATTAAGTTGGGACAAAGACCTATCACCTGCAATGACCGAAAAGTGGAAGGAGCTTATGAAGCATTGGGAAGGCGCGCACTTAACGGTTCCGCGATTGGCCTGCTCGAAGGCCAAAAATTTAAAAGCTGAACTACATGTCTTCACGGATGCATCAGGTTCCGCATTCGGCGCAGCAATTTATCTGAGAATCGAAGACGATCCATTCGATTGCAATTTGATCTTTGGGAAAAGTCTAGTAGTGCCTACCTCGCTGCCCTCGACAAGAAGAACCATACCTTGTTTAGAGCTACACGCAGCAATGTTAGGAACCAAATACACCAAGTTCGTTCGTGAACAGTTGGAAAAGGAATATCCCATTGAAAGAACTATATTGTGGACGGATGCAATCGACGTTATCGACTACGCCCTCAGTGAAAAGAAGCAAGCAGATTTATTAAAAATAGGGTAAACAAGATTCGAGACTACGAAATAAGGCATGTGGACGGAGAAAATAATCCGGCCGACATCGCCTCGCGAGGAGCCACGCCAGAAGAACTCGCTTCACATACCCTATGGTGGAAAGGCCCAACATTCCTACGTCAACCTGAAACAAAATGGCCTGAAGTGAAGCGAATTTACGACCCGCTCGCAAACATGGAACCAAACAAAGAAAATCCTTTGTTTGAAATGAGCCTCGCCGCCAAGCAAAACCATCCAGACGAGACGCAAGACAAATTCTTGATTGACTTCACGCGGTTCTCAAACTGGAATCGGCTGGTCAATTGTATGGCTTACGTTCTACGAGCGAAAGAAGCCTTCATGAAAAAAGGACGAAAAGCCGCCTCCGCGCTCGTGCGGAGAAAAGGAAAAAGGGAGATCGAATCCCTAACAGTACCTGAAGTTTCGGAAGCGGAAGAATTTATTCTAAGATGGATACAAAAACATTACCCCCGACTGACGAAGAAACAAGGAATCTGAACATAATTCACTTCAGAAGAAGTAGCATACCCTTTAAGACCCATTGACATTTTAGATTGCTCAGCACAACTATGAAGAACAGCCGTCAACCCGAAGTGATTGTTGGAGGCTCACAAGAAAGCATTGCAAAAAAGCCATAAGCAAAAAAGCCTCAACATTTCAATTGCCATAATTTAATTTTATTTTTATTTGCATTTTTCGCTTTTAGTATTTCCCATCAATATATGTCAATTGAAATCCGTAAACTTTGTTCTTTTTCTCCTTTCCCTTTTTTGTTGTTTGTAAAAAGTTGTGAGAAAGAAACGGTGTAATAAAGGTTTAAAAGGAACGCACTCTCCGATCGGGGAGAGAGAACCGCTCGAGGTAGAGGTTCCGTTTAGCCGCTATTACACCGCTCGGAAAAGTTTTTAATTCCTTAACAAAAAGGGAAGGAAAAAAAATAATAAAAAGGATTTCTTCTACATTAATATGATTCATTCTTCTAAAACAAATTATAATCCACTGCTGCGGCAAAAAACTTTGACAAATTCATGTATTCTGTGTGGATTATAAATTTATTTTTTGCAATTCTGTGTATTTTTGATCCACTATATGGGACGCATAATAGCTTATGGGATGAATGTCTTAAAATGGAGCCAAGGAAGATAAAAAATTATAGAATGAATGGTTCGATGAAATGATCCTCTTGGCTCAATCTTTTGTGAATAGGCGGAGAGAGAAAAAAAGCAATGACATTTTGTGAAGTATCCCGCTCCTTAAAATTTCCCTTTAAAAATGGGCTAGAATAGAATTACTTTCATATTACATAAGAATAATTAAAAATCATGATGAGCAAATTAGATAAAATGTCTTGCACAACCTTAAACTATTAGGCATTAAGAAGAAGGAGCATGTTCTATATAAAGTAAGGTATGTAGCATCCCGGCCTCCAAAATACAACCCCGACGATTTTTTGGTTAAATAGGCACAATCTTGAGGCAATCCCAATATCGTTAATTTGAAAAAGCTATGGCCTGTAAATAAAAGAAACCTTGAATTTCTGTCTTATTCACAAAGTATAATCAAAATAATTTCACCTGCGGCACTAAAAAATATATTAGCTTGAGTTCGGAGATATAAATATAATTGAGCGTGATTATTTTCATTGCATATATAATGTTTATATTTTCTATATATCTTCTAGTGCTCATCTAAAAATACAAACAATTTTTTTTATTTTGAAAATATTTAAAACAATTCCATAAAGTAATGAAGCTTTCAATATTTTTGCTTTTTTGCTTATTTTTTAAACTTGATCTTGTTAATTTAACTGAAAGAGGTGATGGAAAGGATGGACAACATAATTTCAATCCTTCACGATACCGTGATGGCGAAACAAGCGAAACAGAAACTAGTCAACAAATGAATGTAGGAGAAGTGTTGATGGAAAACCTGGGGTTAATAGAAATAATTTATTTTAATTAAAAAAATTAAGGAATGGTTATTCTGCCAAATGTGATTGGAACGGATGTGGAAGGGTTTTTTATGATCAAAATGAATTTGTGGAACATGTTAAAGAACATACAAAAAATCAAAAGGTCACTAATTATTTGATAATAGTCATTTTCCTGCTTAATAAAGTCAGTGAAAGTGGGCTCTCTTCAGTCAACTTAAAATTTTTAGTTTACATTCCTGTCTTAATTTGTTTTATAATATTTAAAGGGTCCCCGTCGCAACTGTCTTTGGTCTGGATGTAATGGAAAGTCTTTTTTGCAACCAAATTTCGCACAACATATTAGAACACATACAGGAGTAAAGCCTTATGTTTGCACGGTATTAACTTCAGAAAACTTTTTAGCAAAGTTCTAAAATATTCCTTTCCAGTATGTTGATCAAAATGATGTTAGTTGTAATGAAAAATTTACTCGTCAAGAAAATCTTAAAAATCATCAACGTGAGCATACAGGAGAAAAAATTACGTATAAATGTGCTCATTGTGATAAGGTAATTAATTATATACATATTTTTTAAATTTAATTTTGTTTTATTGGGAATGAAGAGGAATTTATTGAGAATTTAAGAAAGACCAATCGAATTTCGTTACTAAAATATACTTCGGACCGTGTTTCGAAACAACTAAAACTTGGAACAGATAAAACCATAGAATCTTGTTAATAAAACAGAGTTTCCTTCAATTTTTTACTAGAACTTAAATGGGTTTTCTGTTTTTAAATTTTGTGAATTTTTTAGAAGTCAAATTCATTGAATAAATACATGGTGACCCAAAAGTAATTGGACACTTTATTTTTGCCATAACTTTTTTCAAATTAAAGATAATGAGATCAAATAAGGATGAAATTATAGAGAATTAAATGGAGAATAAAATATAAAAATCTTTTAGAATTTTCCCTATTCTACTTTGAGATAAGGTTCAAGGAATGTAAGAAAAATTATTGCTCTAGGTCACACCTTTTTTTGAGACATTTTGTCTATAACATTAGAATAGATTGCAGAAATTACACAAAATTTTTTCTGGCATCTAGAGCAGTCTTTTATCTATAGAAATCATAAAGAAAAAAATTTTTTAGATTAATGCTTAAAGAGATATTCGATTGCGCGTAACCCTCCCAAAATGAGAAAATTGCATTCACCCAAAAACTGATTTACATATACTCAGAGCCATTCATGTAGGAGTTGGACTGAATAAATAGATGGGTAGTGCTCATCGAGCTGAGTAGATTAACTCCACAAAAAGTACTAGAAAACGAGACCTACCGCTATAATTTAATAAATATTATACAAATTAACTTAAATTTATTTGGGAAATATAAATGATATGAGTAAGGCCCGGGTTCATACTAACCTTCATTCTTCTTTTATTTACTTATAACAAATTTGTTAGAGGACAATTTTAGGTAGTGAATTGTAAATGGATATGTATATAGAGCTCATTGAGCATTCCGTACATTTCCGAACTGTCAAAAATTTTTTATTATTTTTTTGCTCTATCTTGTAGAGCAACGAAACTTTTAAAAAGAAAATTAATTTTTAAATTTTTAGACTTTTTCAAGTATCAGTAGCAAAACTAAACATGAAAAAATACATAAAGATGAAAACTATTATAGATGTCCAGTATTTATGTGTTTTAAACCAATTAAATGTTTGAATGTTCTGAGATATCATGTTTGTAAACAACACGGAGAACATGTTTGGGATTTTATTATAAAAAATAAAAAAATGAAAAAAGCAAACAATTATGGGGTAATTGGAATAAGGGAAGATGGAACTCCTTACGCGTTAGTTTGTTTTTTTTCTATAAAATTTCAATGATGGGATATTTTGTATGTTTATTTTATTTTTTATTAAAACATTAACGTTCTGTCATTTGAAATTTAATAAAAATTAAATTTCAGAATGCCTGATGGAGCTGGCAGCAGTGTAGGAATATAATTTTTATTATATTAAAATATAATTTTAGTTTTTTAATTACGAAACTTACCATAAACCCTTTATTTTACTTTTGGATTCTAAATTTAAAGGTTGGTCAACCAACATTACCCGAAGCAGGGCAACAACATTTTGGTTTTCCTCCATACCCACACCATGGAAAACAACAATATCTTACACAAATAGCAACAAATAAAGAAGATCATGAACAACATTTTGGCCATACACAACCTCATTTTAAATTATTTGGAAAGGATATTTATGTCGGAGATCAAGGTGTTTATCTTGAATATTAAATACCGTATTTCCTATATTAGAGCCCCACCCTCTGTTAGAGCCCCACCCTCTAATACAGCCCCACTTTGGAGGATAGTTAAAAAATAGAGCCCCACCCTCAATTAGAGCCCCACCCCAAATAAAGCCCCACCTAAAAAATATTGGAGGAAAAATTATCCCAATAACTTTTTAGATGTATTAAGAGAGTTAAGGAAATAAAGGGGATGGATCTCGATGATATCGCGATCAAGAAGGAGGAGGGATCATAGGAATATAGAAATGAAAAGGAGGGGATAACTTCGATATCCGCCCAAATACTCTAGAATCGCCTATATTCCTCCAAATCCCTCCTATTATCTCCAATAAAATAAATTTATGAAGGGTTGCAATTTTTGAAGGGTTTCAATATGAAGGGTTGCAATCGTGTTAGGCACTTGGCGATAATTCGAGAGATTATTAAAGATCTATTAGAGATCTCGCTTATAATCAGTGATGAAGTTCCAAAATTTCTCCAAAATCGGTTCCAGTTCTGGAACTTGTTCAAAAGCTTCATCAAACAAAATCCCTTCATTTGCCTCCTAATACCCCTAGTCCAGAATATCCCTCTTAATCCCGCTAAATCTCTCAATATAAGCTTAATCCTCTGTATTCCCCATAATCCCTTAAAAGCCACTCTTATACCTCTGATCCATCGATGTCAAACACTAGTCCCCTAATATTTCCTTTAATCCGTCCAAATCTATTAATATTTAATATTAATCTTACTCTTATTGAATTATTGTGACTATTTTGTTATTCATTGCTTAAAAAGTTTTAATTTTTCATGAAAAATCAAAAAAAATATCGATTCGCTTTTGATATTTTCGGTTTTATCGACCATCCCCTCCGGCCTATCTCTTGTTGCAATGGACAGTTAATAAATGGGATTTTAACTCAAAGAGGGTTGAAAAATAGAGCCCCACCCTCAATTAGAGCCCCACCCTTTAATACAGCCCCACCCTGGAGGATAGTTGAAAAATATAGCCCCATGGGGCTCTAATATAGGAAATACGGTAACTAAAAATGATCTAAAAAGGGGAAACATAAAATCTAATTGAACAATTAATTGCGTTACGTAGTTTTTTTGGTAGGCCAAGTAGTCAGATTTTTTTGCGATACAGAGAAAATTTTCCCAAATTATATTTTTTAAATAATGGAATTAGAGTCTAAAACGGTCGATAACACCAATAATAAAAAGCCGTCATAAGAACTTATCATTATAGATAAGTAATTATAAGAAAGAAACTGAACTACACATAAAAGGCATATTTGAGAAGATCGCAATGTTTAGTAGTACAAATTACTTAAATTATTTCTATGCCAAAAAATATGGAATTTATATAGCTAGGGGTTGGAGGTTGTTGGGAGGGGACTGTGTCGAAATAATTCTATGTTGGAGGTTTTCTCTTTTTGCTATATGTTCTTGTAATTCGGGTCAAAGCTGGGCGAAAATAAAAAATTTTTCAAATCATTTGAAGAAATGTATCCAAAGTTTTATTTGTCTTATCCACTTGTGCCACCTACTGAATCTGAAAAAATAAAACAAATATTTGTCAAAGATTTAGTAGATTTTTAATGTTATAGAAAGTTTTAAAACCTCGGACTCGTTCTTTGGCAACATATACATATATGAAATATATATTTTTAACTGTTAATAAATTTTAATATAAAGATTCGACACTTCCTCAATATTTATATCCTAGCACTGAAGAGGAAGAACAGCAGAGTAATATTTATATTAAATTTTGTTATACTATGTGTTAGAACCCCGAATGGGACGGTCGTACGAGAATCGAGATTTCGATAACCGAAATTTTCTATGAATACCTCGTCTCGGTACGGGCTCTACAATGTGGTTATTGGATAAGCACACAATACCAATTTTGTTGACAAAAAAATTTTAATTTTTCAGTGCTTTTACGTGCACAAGAGGAATCAGCTCGAAATGCTCCTTTTAGATCGGGGAACCTGGCAATTGGTGGTAATAAATTATTTTTAATTTAAATTTTTATTTTTATTGTTCATCTGTTAATCAAATATTTTTATTCCGTAATAATCATCCTCGAATATACAGTGCCGGAAAAAAAGATAGGACCAGAGGCTGTTAAATTAGTTTTTTTCGCTTATCTCTTTTTTAATGGCATTTAGAAAATAAGTTTCAACACAAAAATTTTAGGCCATTAAGTGCTCTTTAAAATGAGTATAAATTTGTGGAAAGGAAAATTTGTGGAAAGGAAAATGTGGGCGTCTGGTCCTATCTTTTTTTCCGGCACTGTAATACTATCACGGTGTACGGAATTTTGGTCACTGGAATTCTGGTCACCACGATTTTTCGGAATTCTGGTCACCAATTTTTTTTGAATTTTGGTCACCAGCGGAATTTTGGTCACCAAGTCGAAAAACGGAATATTGGGCACTGAAATTTTGGTCACCAATAGGAATTTTGGTCACCAAACGGAAAAAAAGAATCTTATCTAAAACTGATATCAAAGTGATATAAAATTGTTTTTTAACTCCCAGTTGATCAATTTCAATGTTGATCACTCTCACAGTTAATTAATCATCTGGGAGAGTGATCGAGAGTGATCAACCGAGAGAGTGATCAGCCGGGAAAGTGACAAACATTGAAATTGATCAAATGGGGGTTGAAAAATCATTTTTTATCACTTTGATATCAGTTTTAGATAAGATTATTTTTTTCCATTTGGTGACCAAAATTCCTATTGGTGACCAAAATTTCAGTGATCAATATTCCGTTTTTTGACTTGGTGACCAGAATTCCGCTGGTGACCAAAATTCCAAAAAAATTGGTGACCAAAGTTCCGAAAAATCGTGGTGACCAAAATTCCGGTGACCAAAATTCCGGCACCCACTATCACTCCTAGTGAAGGATCGAAATAATATAAAATTAGACTAGAAATGGGGTTATATGGGTATAAATTTTTAATAAATAAGGACATCATAACCAAGTACAGGTATCAATGTCTAACGAAGGTAAAAAAATTATGAGGACGTTTCAAGTTAAAGAGACCGATCTCTGTTTCTATAAAAACACATTTTCTATTGTTTGTTAAAATATTGAATTAAATTATAATTTAGAAGGACGTTCACGTCAAAGAGGAGGAGCAAGCCGCCGAGGAAGTTCACGTCCTGAAGGTATTTTATTAACTAAAAAATAAAAATATCTACCAACTCTTGTTATCTAGAGGTTTTTCAGATTTATATTTTTCTAAATAGCACGTTTTTTTGAATAAATGACAATAAAAGTTCCATACAGAATTATAACATTTATTCACAAAAATTAAAATTATCAATGAAATAATTTTTAGAAAAGAATATTTGTAAAACATTTAAATTAAAAATAATTTTTACAGATAAAGGAAAGGGTAAAATGGATGATTAACGAGATGAAAATTGAGTATTTGAGGGGAACTAGTTTACTGATTATTTGAAGTTTAAACAAATTAACAATGAAAACATTGTTTTTTTGTTATTGTAGCAACAAATCTATACGAGACTTTCCTTTAAATCTTTACAATTTTTATTAATTTCCTATCATTACCAATCGGTTTTTATTTTATTTCGGATTTATGGTTATCATATATTGAGATCCGACTTCTTCAACTTTTATGAATCTTGTTAACTCAAATATTTTTTTTCAAATCTTTAATATTTTTATTAATTTTCTCTTCAGATTACCAATTAGTCTTTATTTTATTTTCGGTCATATTTTAGTTAAACTCTTACGGGATCAGTCAAATGGGAAAATTATATGTAAAACTAGATAGATAATACAGTCGGATCTCAACATTGATTACCCACTAAATGACCAACAAATTTTATAAATTTTTTAATTGAAGTATATCTAAGTCTTATAGGCTTTATTTTAAATTCAAGATTTTTTCAAAATTTTGGGCATTTATATTTAAATCCTTTCCTTTCTGTTTGTATTTTTTAGTTAAAATTCAAGAGTGATTTGTTTCTGTTGGAAGGTTAACAGTAGATTCTATATACAGTCAGATCTCTACACTTATTTCCTAGATTAATTAGCTACCCAACTCAACGTCCAAGTAGAATTTAAAATCTTAATTTGCTGTGTATTTATCCAGTATTTGTTAAATCTTCTTGTGAGATCCGACTGTATCAGGGAACTTTTTGAAACGTTAGCATTAAAATACTTTCATTTAAATGTATTATCAAAATATTTTTAGTTCATTTCTTCTATGATTATTTTCTTGAGTAAAATTTATTGCATAATTTTCATTTTTTGACTTCATATAAATTTACCCAGAAATAAATCAAAAGAGTCAATCGGATTAAAAGACCTTCCATACCCGAGATAAAATTCGTTGCATACACATTGGAAAACAAAATACACTCACAAATATAAGGTTTTTGTAGTGAAATTTAACTAAAAAATCGAACGAAATAAAACCAAATGGAGCTAGAAAATAAATGTCAAAAAATATCAAGACTATTTTTGTCAAAGATAGTGGGGGTGTGATATACAATTAAAGAGTGAAGTGAAAAAATTAGATTATGTTAAAAATAAAAGTCCCATATCAAAAAACCCCATCAATCTTAAATAAAGCTATACTTGAAGGTATTTGTTTAGGATACCGTATATGCCGGAATACTTTTAAAAATTGTTTAATTATCACGCTAGATTGGGTAAATCAATCGAAAGGGGTGATTATTTAAGAATGGGTAATTGTTCTAGCATATACGGTAGGAAGATTGTGTTGCTAACTGTGAAAAAACGACATATTTTTTCAATTCTTCACGTTTAATTTTTCGATCAGTAAAGAATAATTCTTCAGTCATCAAATACTGTGTTTCCATCTCGTTAATCTAGTGCTTTTCTCTTTCCTTTATCTGTAGAGATTGTCTATTAAAATTTGTTTCTAAGATTTTCAATAAAAACCTCCAGATCCTCGTCCTTGGCGTTGTGTGCCTCGTTGACGAGAACTCCCTCCTAAATTAATTATTTAATCTAAAAACAGATTTCAATTTTTACCTTGATTAGACCCTGATCCTTGTCCCTGATTCGGTTGTCCTTAATTAGAAACATTATATTTTTATTATTTAGTTATGTGGAGAGGTGGTATTGATTCTTAGAGACTTTGGGAAGAGGTTATTATATACTCGAACATCCCCCCCTCCTATTTACTTTTAAACTTGGTAGATAGAATGATTATTAAATCATTCAATTTTCTCTGGGATTCGTCCACAAAACATATTGACCAAAATTTTGTTGCCATCCGTGGGGTGGGTATGCTGGATGACCAAAATGTAGTGGTCCGTCTTCGGGTGTTTGTATATCAAACTTTAAATTTGAAAAGATAAAACCAAAGTTGATGTGTTATGTTTTTATTGTGTTAGAAGTTCTTATTTTTATAAAAATAATCACATCAAAATCCCTTATTCCCAAACCCTCTCAATATAGAGCAAAATATCATCAGTTCAGGGGGGATTTATGACTAGGGATGGGATTTTTATGGATTTACATATTTTTTTCCTGAACTCGTTGGGTTCTGAAACGTCCAAAAAACATGTTTTTAGCATATGGCGATAAGGCCGTTTTTGAGTTATCAATCCATATTTTCCATATCTTTTCATATTTAGGCGTTCCGTCCATATTTTCCATATTTTATCCGTATTTCTTCATTTTTTGTAAAATTTTGCCAAAAATTGGTTAAAATTTTCAAATTTATGAAATTTTTGGTCAAAAATTTTTACAAAAAACTTTTTTGAAAAAATTTTTTCTAAAAATTTTTGAAAATTTTTTATATAAAAATTTTGACAAAAATTTTTCAAAAAATTTTCACCTCAAATATTATCCAAAATATTTTTAGAACCAAAATAATCACTATTAATTGACTTATTGGTAATAATTTGCATCAAAATTAACTTATTTAACGTTTTCTGCTTAAAAATGAAAATTTTTCCGTTAAAAATTTACAGTTTTCGGTCCATATTTGATCCATATTTTGGATTTTAGTCCATATTTCAGTCCATATTATGAGATTTTTAGTACATATTATATATCCATATTTGTCGATTGATAGTCCATATAAATCCCATCCCTAGTCATAAGATAACCCCGAATACAAAGTAAAATAAAAACCAATTGATAATCATAGGAAAATTAATAAAAATAGTAAAGATTTAAAGGAAAGTCTAGGATAGATTTGTTGTGACAATAACAAAAAAACAATTTTTTTTCATTGTTAATTTGTTTAAACTTCAAATAATCAGTAAACTAGTTCTCCTCAAATACTCAATTTTATCTCGTTAATCATCCATTTTACCCTTTCCTTTATCTGTAAAAATTATTTTTAATTTAAATGTTTTACAAATATTCTTATCTAAAAATCATTTAATTGATAATTTTTTTAAATAAAAGATATATTCTGTATGAAATTTTATTGTCATTTATTCGGAAAAACGTGCTGTTTAGAAAAATATAAATCTGAAAACCCCTCATAAGTGGTAGATACATATGTATTTTTATTTTTTAGTTAATAAAATACCTTCAGGGCCCTATTTCAATTGTCCACAGATTCTGCGGTCTGCGTTCTGTGCACAGACCACAGAACCACAGAAATTCTGTTTCAATTATTCCACAGATTCTGCGGAAAAAGAAGTCCGCAGATTCTGTGGAAACATGCACAGAATCTGTGGAAACATCCACAGATTCTGCAAAACATCCAAAAACATGCAAAAACCACAGAATTCTATTTCAATTATTTTTCTGTGCACAGAAAAAAATCCACAGATCTGTGGCTTTTTTAGTCGATTCTGTGCATTTCTGTTTCAATTATTTCTGTGGTCTGCGGAAAATACACAGAATTCTTTAAAAAATCCACCCTAAAATTTTTTCTGCGAACTTTCTGTGGAAAAACTTTAACAATTTTTTTCTAGGCCTAGGCTTAACCAAATTTCAAAATTTTTAAAGATTATTAAAGTTTGAATCATTCTCTATTTTTTGATATAAAAATTATAATTTTATTACCTAAAATTATTGCTTAAAATTAATTTTGAAAAAGGTACATCTTTTTTACGCAGTTTTTGTTATATTCAAGCAATAAAAAAATAAAAAACGTGAGAGATTCTGAAATTTAGAGCTATGATGTTCTAATCATCATGGATATCTCTAATGAGGGGATGTTTACCAGGATCTATAGAATATATCTGTATAGCGTATACTGGGATATCTCCCATGATCTCTCATTGATATCCGTCATAATCTCTCCTCCTATTTAATGATAGATTTCCTCCTTAATCACTCCAATATATTAAACCTCAAAATCAATGGATATCCCACTTAATCACTCCTCTACGATTTTAAAGTTCCGATTTGACTATAATTTTGGATTCCAGGCATTTTCGATTTCCAGGAACCTCAATTTCTGACTAAACAATCCCCAAACATTTCCCTCCCTTGCAACAACTTCTATCGTAGTTTGAAAAAGCCACATGTCGGATCGACATCTCCTGATTTTTCCGATCCGAACCCTGCTTTAGGACATTAATTTAATTGGAGATTTAAGGATATTGGATGAACAAGAAAATTAAGCGGTATATCAGCGGTTTTAAAGTGATATCAAAGAGATTTAAAGGGATGTTATGTGATTTGGAGGGAAAATTTTTAAATCTTTACAATATTTTTCAGTTTAATTTAAGAATTTTTAAAGTTTTACTTCAAAAAATCAGGTACCATTAATACTGCGGTAGTACCGAACTGTCCAAACCATTTTTCGTTTCAATAAAACTGTTATTTTCAAAAACGCGGAAATAAAAAATTTGAATTTAGAAGAAAAAATACACAGAACCACAGAAAAATAATTGAAATACAAATTCTGTGGATCAGTGGAAAAAATCCACAGATTTTTATATTTTCCACAGAAATTTTCATCCACAGAATCTGCGGAATGTTTCCACAGAATCATTGGATGTTTCCGCAGAATCTGCGGGCACCACAGATTCTGTGCACACAGAATTTAATTGAAACAGAATTTCCACAGAATCTGTGTTCTGTGCACAGAATGCAGAATCTGTGGACAATTGAAATAGGCCCCAGGACGTAAACTTCCTCGGCGGCTTGCTCCTCCTCCTTGACGTGAACGTCCTTCTAAATTATAATTTGATTCAATATTTTAACAAACAATAGAAACTGTGTTCTCATAGAAACTGTGTCACAGAGACCGTTTGTGATCCTTAACCGTGTGTGTCCAAATCCATGATTAAACGTTAAAATTTAAATTATTGTTTGCCTTTATAGTTAGGTATTTGTGGAGATAAATGTTTCCTGGATCTAAACGGTCTCTTTGACATGACGGTCTCTTTGATATGTTCGATCCAAGCTAAATGGTCGAACATATTTTCAAAATAGCGAAAGATTATTTAGGAGATGATTATTAATTTTCTCCGGAAATGATTAATACGTAATAAAAATATTTGATTAACAGATGAACAATAAAAATTATTCAGCATCAACAAATTTAAATTAAAAATAATCTATTACCACCAATTGCCAAGTTCCCCGATCTGAGAGGAGCATTACGAGCTGACTCCTCTTGTGCACGTAGAAGCACTGAAAAATTAAAAAAAATTTTTAGTCAACAAAATTGGTATTGTGTGCTTATCTTATCGTATGTTTGAAAAGGAAAATGTCGATAGAAAAATGTGGGCGGATAACCACATTGTAGAGCCGGACCGAGACGAGATCTTCATAGAAAATTTCGGTTATCGAGATTACCACAAAGTATAACAAAATTTAATATAAATATTACTCTGTTGTTCCTCCTCTCCAGTGCTTGGATATAAATATTCAGGAAATGTCGCATCTTTATTTAAAAATTAGTAACAATTTAAAATATATTTTTTGGTTATACTAATGGTTTGGAAACCGTGGCTTTATTTTTATATTAATTTTTTAACTATTTCATCATAATCGGTGAATTTGGAGAGGTCAAGGTGGATTTGAAGATTTAACGGAAGATTAAGAAAATTGAGCTCAATTTAGCTCATATAGGAGGGGGAACAGTTAATGCTTTAGGTAATACATAACGGATTATAAGTGTTTATATTAGGGTTTGACCCCGAACGTTCGGGGGCGGGTATGTCGGGGTACGGGGTTTTCGAAATGTTTCGGGGCGGGGTTCGGGTCGGGGGAGCAAAATATGGTCGGGGTTCGGGTCGGGGTACGGGGGTTTACTGAAAAAATTTTTTAAAGAAAAAATGCTCTAAAAATAAGCCATTTTCGATCTATTTTCGTCATTTTATTCAGAAATTAATAAGAATAAGTTGGGACTAATGGTTCTTATTGATTTAAAATGTATATCTGGTATTGTTTCACTGGAAATTCCGGTTCCGGTTTCGGAAAGTTCCGGCGCTTTTTGGTTCCGGTCCGGTTCTGGGATACGAACTAAAATTGGACCAGGTTCTGGTCAAAATTTTGGTTCCGGTGAAACACTAATATCTGAGGAGGTAAATAAATTTTGACGGATTATCCCCTGATATCACATCCGCCGATAACCTCCTTAATCCCTCAATAGCATTTTAGCTAAGTTTTACATTTTCAGAGCCGCAGGCGAAAATTATAGAAGTTTTTAGGGTTAGCGCTGCAAACGAAAATTTTTGAAATTTTAACATTAAATAAAAAATCTTGCATTGTTTTTTATGGTTGACAATATTTAAAAAATAAGATTAACATTTTAAAATTAAAAAAATCTTGTTTTTGTAAATAAAAATCCTGAAGAAACAATCGATTTCCGCCTATTTGGATCCTAACCCAAACCTATATTAATGGACCTATAGGGTAGACCAACAACTAAGCCACTCAACCACAAGTCTCTTAAAAGAGCAGGAAAAAGAATTTTGATATTTCCTTCATTTTTCTTTCAAAAATAATAAAAGCAAAGTAAATTGGGAGTAAATTTTTAAAATTTTTCTCTTAAAATTCTCCCAAAAATGGCATTTTTGGGTATATAAAACCCCGAAACTTTTCGGGTCGGGGTACGGGGTTTTCACTTTTTTTCGGGGCGGGGTTCGGGTCGGGGAGAATCGTGAAAAAATCGTTCGGGAACGGGGTCGGGGTTCGGGGTACGGGGTCGGGGTCAAACCCTAGTTTATATGTAAGTTTTAATAGTCTGAATCTTATATTCTAAATGTTATTTTATTTTAATTGAGTACTTGCACTTGCAAGAACCTACATAACGGAATTTAATTGTTCGATGTGATTTTAAGTTTCCCTTTTCCAGATTATTTTATTTTTACTCATTTAATATTCAAAATAAACACCTTGATCTCCGACATAAATATCCTTTCCAAATAATTTAAAATGAGGTTGAGTATGGCCAAAATTTTGTTCTTGATCTTCTTTATTTGTTGCTATTTGTGTAAAATATTGTTGTTCTACATGGTGTGGGTATGGTGGAAGACCAAAATGATGTTGCCCTCCTTCGGGTAATGTTGGTTGACAAACCTTTAAATTTAAAAACAAAAAGTAAATTTATAGGTTTATGGTAAGTTTTGTAATGAAAAAATCTAAAAACAATATGTAGATATAACTAAAATATATTCTCACATCTGCATCATGTTCCACATTACTGCTGCCAGCTCCATCAGGCATTCTGAAATTTAATTTTTTAATTAAATTTCTGAAATTTATTAAATTTCAGATCGTTACAGATTGTTTAAAAAATAAAAAAAAATTACAAAATATCCGAAATTTTATCTAAAAAACAAACATACGCGTAAGGAGTTCCATCTTCCCTTATTCCAATTACCCCATAATTGTTTGCTTTTTTCTCTCTTTTATTTTTTATAATAAAATCCCAAACATATCTTCCGTGTTTATTACAAACATGAGATTTCTGTGCAGGTAAACTATAAAATGGTTCAAAACACATAAATACTGGACATCTATAATAGTTTTCATCTTTATGTATTTTTTCATGTTTAGTTTTGCTAGTGATACTTGAAAAAGTCTAAAAATTTCAAAATTAATTTTTCTTTTTAAAAGTTTCGTTATCTGACCCAAGTTTTTCAAGTTCCTCATTCCCAATAAAACAAATAAAAATATATAAATAATTAATTACCTGAGGACAATGAGCACATTTATACGTAATTATTTCTCCTGTATGCTCACGTTGATGATTTTTAAGATTTTCCTGACGAGTAAATTTCTTATCACAACTAACACCATCTTGATCAACATACTGGAAAGAAATATTTTTAATTTTGTTAAGAAGTTTTCTGAAGTTAATACCGTGCAAACATGAAGCTTTACTCCTGTATGTGTTTTAATATGTTGTGCGATATTTTTCCGTGAAATAACCTTTCCATTACATCCTAACCAGTAACAGTAGCGATTTTCCCCCTTTAAATTGAAATATTAAAACAAGAATGTAAACTAAAAATTTTAGGTTAACTGAAGAGAGTGTCGGAGATCCGACAATGTAAAGTGATTGATTTATTGGTAAATAATATTTCCTATCCCTGATTGTTATCTCAGGGAAGCGATCCTTGCTCAATGGTGGAAATGCACACAGCCGCGATTACGCTGCATGCTCTGGCCTGGTCTATTTAAAGAAAAGAAGACTTTTCACATATAGATCAGTTCTGGGATGTAGAGTGAATAAAAGCAGATAATATTAATTTCCCTTTCTTCCCCTCCCCTTTTTCTGTCCCTTCCCTTTGTAAATAACTTTATATTTTTAATTTATGCTTTTAATTTATTTATATTTTATTTAATTTAAATAAACTATTTCTATTTATTCTTGAATTAATATTAATTAATTATTAACTACTTTCTTTATAAAATATTATAACGAGTCTTCCCGCCCAATAATTAGGCACCTCAACGACTAAATTCTCGAGTTTATGGCTTCTCCCCGGCTCAAAGGGCACAGAAAACCCAGTAGAATAAAATGGCCAATTTCCAGGATCCAACGACTACTCAATCTTTGGCGGCATCTTGCCAAACTTACGTCGCAGGCCCTCGGGTCTGCGACAGAGAGCGCATTTCACGGACTTTGTTAGCAGGAAAAGTTTTATTATCTAATATTCAATGACCTTTTGATTTTTTGTATGTCCTTTAACATGATCGACAAAATCATTTTTATTAGAAAAAACTCTTCCACATCCATTCCATTCACATTTGGCAGAATAACCACTCCTTAATTTTTTAAATTAAAATAAATTATTTCTATTAACCCTTGGGTTTCCATTAACACTTGTCCTCCAACATTCATTTGTTGATGTTGAGGTGAAAATAATAACGGATGATTGCCTAAATCTTGATTAAAATTTGACAAAGATTGAAAAGTTTCTAGGCCAGAAGGATTCACTTCTTGAGTGTATTCTTCAGTATTTGAGGGTATGCTTCCTGTTCCAGTGCCTACAGGACCACTAGTTTCTGTTTCGCCTGTTTCGACATCACGGAATCGTGAAGGATTGAAATTATTTTGTCCATCCTTTCCATAATTTCTTTTTGTTGAATTAACAAGTTCAAGTATAAAAAATAAGCAAAAAAGCAAAAATATTGAAAGCTTCATTACTTTCTGGAATTGTTTTAAATATTTTGAGAATTGAAAAAATATTTAGTTTATATTTTTCAGATTGTTAATGTTCTTTAATATAAGAACATTAACAATAATATTTCCCCATGATTTTCATTATTCAATTTTTTACTTTCATATTTAATTAAATTATAAATTTGTATATTCAATAAATAAATATTGTTATTTATTCTTATTGTTTGAAACGAATACATTTACGGTGTACCCTAGCCCTAAGGGAAGTACCGGTACTGTTCTGAGTTAGGTTTAGGACATTTCTCAACTCTTTAAGGACTATTGTCCTTCAATTCATAAAAGCCGTACGAGTCTACCCATTGCGGACAAGACCGATTAGCCCGTCTGGCCTAATGTTTTTGTTAGTTCTATTCCAGCCCATCACAAGTCAATATCATCAAGGCACTTCGAGGCTATTGGCATATTCAGGATAATTAAAGCTCGCTGTAGTCAATTTGACAAGGAAATAACTGTTATAGAATAGCGGCTTTGGAGTAGTCTTTTCTCTCCGTTCCGCTGAAAGCTGCTCGCGACACTTGAAATAAAAAGTAAAATATTTCTTATAAAAATTTATTTAAAAATACATTCTTTTGATTAAGTTAAATAAATTTAAAATTAATTACCTAGCTAGCATGTAAGTATTTTAAGAAAGAAAATCGAAGGGTATATATTGGATAAATCTTAAATGGATTTTATAGACAAGTATAAAATTAAGACACGAGCAATTGTTTCGAAATTTCGATTTGCAAGGTTTTTTCTTTCAATTTCTATTTCGAATCTTTGCAGAAATCTTTAATAAATTTGAATTTCGTCTTATTGGCCATGAGAGAGAATGCCTTCAGGGCCGCCGGAAATAAATAAGAAATATCAGGTAAGCGGATGTATAAGGTGTTCGGATCGGGAAATTGTTTAATGTAATTACATATAGTTCTATTTGGAAGTACATAGGGAGAAAAAGGAGAAACTTACAAATAAGTGCATTTTTAATTTTAGAAGTACAAGGGTTGATTTGTAAGTATTGTACTTCCAAAATAAGTACGAATCCGAACCCTGGAAAAAATAAGACAACTTACACAACTTTCTTCAAAAACCCTGAGAAGCTAGTGATTTCTGAAAAAAAACTTACGAGATATTCTAATAACCTCAATCAACTGGCAGTACTAAACTTTTTAGCTATTTGCAGTGTCTATTTTTGATTTTTCGTCTTATTTTTTCAAAATTTTCTAAAGTTAAGTAAGGAAAATAAAGGACAAAATATTTTGTTTTGTACCTAAACAGGGATACAAAAAAGAGTACGAAAGATTAAACCGGATGGAATCTACCCATCCCTTCTCCATATAAACAAATCGGAGGGACTTAAAGGGTTAAAGAGAAAGAGGTAAAGAGAGAGATAAAAAAGCGCTGCACTTAAATTATACCTTGCCAAGACTTGATTCATGTGATTTTGCGTGGATGTCGATAAAGATACATTTGACGGAAAATCGTCTGATATTTTACAGAATCGAGGTTGAAATTATTCGGTAAATGTTGTAGCTACAAATCTGGATGAATATAATGATCTAAACATAAAACTCTGTAAACGAAGAAGGAACAGTGCCATCAATCTAATTTTATAAGTAAGAGACGTGTTAATTTAACTACTTATGAGCGGAGGTAAAAGAATTCGGAATTTTAAAATTTTCCGTCGGCTCACGTTTCAGTTCGAAAAAATTAAGGTCCAATGACTTAATTGTTTGGGACTAGACTTTGATGAGCTTATAAATGTAACAGCCATAAATATTTAGAATAAACATTTAAAAACAAAATTTAAAAACTTCAAAGAATAAAATATTTGGTGAATTGTCCTCTTAATCTCAATTTTTTAGCAAAAGCGGAGAGAGAGAGAGAAAGATTTATTCAATGCGACTTATTCAGCCTTTTAAAATTTTCCCTTATAAGCCAGCTAAATGGCTGTGGACTCCCTTACTATTTAACGACAATTAGGAAATTAAGTGAAGGTTGCCTGAACCAAAATTCGTAATTGTACTCGTAGCCAGAGGTGATCGTATCACGTTATTTGCTTTAAGGGCAAAAAATTGCCCTTTGCTTTTATTGCCCTTTGCTTTAAGAGCAATAAAATTCGTTTATACTTTCTCCGATATTTTATTTATAGTAGAAAATACTATATTAGTTTTTTAGCATGCTACCGTCCTGATTTTTTCAAATACTAAAATATTCGTCTTAATTTTTTGTATTTACTCTAAAATAACCCCTAGGTTTATTTTTCGATCAGTTGAGGGATATTCTAAGGGGATGGTTGAGTTTTTTTAGAGGAAATACAGTATATCGCTTTTCTTAAAAATTTTCCAGACCTGGTCACGGATACTGATCTTGTTATCCGTATCCGGATATCTACGGCGGATACCGTAGATATCCGCAGGCATTTTGTTATTATCTGTATCCGTATCCATGAAATCAATATCCGTATCCGTTCATATCCGTGTAAAATGTTTTATATCCATTATCAAGGTAAGGAAGGTTTCCGTCCGATTTTGGAAACATCAACCATCTAAGTCCATATCCTTAAATATCCGCGGGTTTCCGGATATTATCTGTATCCATGACCAGTTCTGTATTTTACACTATTGTTGGGTCGAATTGATAAATGTAAAGTCTTTCTAAAAGAGAAATATTCAAAATCATTTATTTAAAAATCTAAGGGTTTTAAACTTTTTTCCATATTTTTCCATACACTTTTTACTTTCTGATAAAAACATATTAAAACTTCTTTTAGCAGTTTCTTTTACAATATATGAATGAAACACTTTGTTCATTTTAGTTTTATAAAGACATTTTAGTCTAAACTTTTTCAAATTTAAATGAATATAAACATTATTAGATAAGACGAGATGCCTCAAAATTAGAGAGAGTGTCGTATGAGAATCGAGATCGAGGTTTTTATTTTTTAATTTTATGAGGGCTCGAGAAATTTCCGATCTTGATACCCGAGATAAATCTCAATCGAAATCTCGTCTCTGTCCGGTCTCTACTCAAAATTTACCCGGATACGGAAACCAAGTATGTTAAATCACAAGTTAAAATAATATTAAAAATTGCAAAAAAATACTATTTATTTACAGAAAAATTGTTAAAAAAAGATGACACTTTGGAGGTCTTTAACGACCACAAAGTACTCTCTTATATAACAATATAATAAAGTTATTTATCTTTTTTGATCAAATTATAAAATACTTTAAGTTATTATAATAATAGAAACATTAATAAACTAAGGTTGAAAGCTTAATAAAAAATTCTTTATTGATTGAAAAATTTTTTAGTGGTTATAAAATATTCTTAAGTTAAAAAAAAGTGAATTTTTGCAAAATAAAAAATAATTTTTTCACTAACCTTGTATCTGATATAGTTTCCATTCTTGATCATAGCCATTGATGATAGCAGGCTCACAATGTCGTTGAGATCGCAATATTAGTGACAACTCTTTGGTCCGTCTCTTATATAAGGTATCTTTACAAAATCCGCAAAAAAGTATTTATTGAAGTGTTGAGGAGTTATGATCTGTGTGACAAAATATTTCCTTAAATATTCTCAATATTAACAATAGCTCACAAAATCGTACTAAGTATTTAATTTAAAAATTCAATTAATTAAACTTAATTATAATATTTAATATTGTGTAATTCGGACACTTTTGTAAATTTATTATTCTTATTTTTGGAATTGGAAGTTTTTTTAGTTCTCTTACTTAAAATTTTTCGTCTTAAAATATTTTACGATAGCGATGAAATTTTTTAAAAAAATAAATTTTTTTAGGGCTTTCTATTAGCAAGGCAATACACAAATTTGTTTGTTATGAGGTAGACAACTTGTTGAAAATAACTAGTGTAAAATCTTTGTAAAATCTTGAGAATAATATTGCACTTATATCTTTTAGATTTAAGATGATCAAACAGCCAAAAAACTTTTTTCAGTAAAACCAAAATTTTAAAACATATTTTTTGAAAAATTTTTTTATTTTAATTTAATTTTCAAGTCACGTTTATTTATTAAAAAATATTTACTTTAAATGTCACTCACAAACGACATCTGTCACAACGGAAAAAAATTTTTAAATTTTATTTAAAATTTTTTTCTTCCGTTCTTTTCTCTTTCTTCAATTTAAAATGCACTTATTTGTTAGCTTTGCATTTTTTTAAAAAATATTTTAGTCACGTTTCTATCTTAATTAAATATCGTTTATGTTGTTTACTTCCGTAATTTTCTTTAAGAAAAGAGAAAAAATTTTACTTCCGTAAACATATACTTTTAAAAATTTTTTTTGTCTTGTTAAAGCACAATTAAAGTCCAAACATCTGTTTTTTTTTGTTTTATTTACTCTTGGGGGAAGGATGAGCGCAAGAAAGGAGTGAGTGCCTTTTAGCGATGCAGGCATATTCCTTAAGAGTTTTAGAAGGTCAACAATTCTTCTATATTTTTGTCTGCAGATTTGTCGTGTTTTGGGGACAATTAAATGAGAATGCTCAAACGATATAAATTCGGATGCCGATTTTTTCGGGGACGGCGAATGGGAACAACCCTATTAAATATTACCCTCATTTTTCAATAAAATTCTTCATCATCAATAAAGTATATAATTCGAGGTTAAACTGTATATTGCTTTTTTCTTATAAAGACGGCCCTCCTATTTGGAAGAAGCGTTCCTATTTGAGAAATAAATATACCCACATTTAAAGCACTCTTTCTAATAGACGTTCACTTTTAAGAAGGGGACCGTGGCCTTTTGGGTTTCTTTAGAAGCATTCTTCCGCTATAAAAGAAGGCTTTTAAGACGATGTTGAACCAGGGTGGCCCGTTTTTCGACCTTTTCGGCCTATTTTTTCCCCTATTTTGGCCAATTTTGCCTTATTTTTGAGTGGCTGCGCTCTATTTTAGTGCTTTAGAAAGGGTTACCTTGGGTTGAACTTTTTTAATTTTAAAGAAAATTTCAAAAATTTTTTTTTTAATTTCTTACCCCTAACCTAACCTGTTTTTACATTTTTGTCAAAATTTCATCACAATATTTACTTCCCTCTCCTCTATATTCTTTCATTATTTCCCATTACTACATCCATCCAACAACCACCGCTTTTTTCCTCCCCAAAATATTATATTGATTCTCTACGCTCTCGCTAAAATAAAAAGAAAAATTTACAAAATGTCATCCCTTAACTATACAATTGTTTAATTAAATATATTGTTTTGAAATTATTTTTTTTTGTGGGAGCTCAGAAATTTTTCTATAGGTAGAACCTCATATTTTATGTACACCCTCAATCAAAAGAGGTAATTTCTTTTTAGTTTTTTTAGCCATTGTGTTTAAGGGATGGGTATCTTCCGCCTTTTTCAGTATGCCTTTGTAGGTTGTCTGGCGCTTCATATTGGGTTCGTTTACATATCTGAAATGGAGTAGGTCGTCTAAATGTGACAGAACCCATCCCTGGTGGATATGGTAGTAAATAATCTATCACTTCTTTTTTACGTACAGTTTTCCTTTCTCTAAGGTTGTACAAAAAACAGAGGTTCGATTATAACAATGCAAAGCATTTTAACAAAAAATTTGTTTACTTTATTTTTAAATTCTAATCGGATTTATCTGGACTATTAAAATGTGATTTAACATAAAAATCTGTTGACAGATTTATCAAAACCTAACAATACATTTATTTTTGTCCAAAAAATATTTTTAATCTTATAAAAACACTTTTTAATCCTCTTGCATATTTTCTCTTTTTCCGACACCTGTTATTTTACTATTTGTTATAAGCCACGTGGTCATAACATTGTTTTTAATCGTCTTTTTTTGAGATTTAAGGCAAAAATACCAAATCCCCTTGGTTTCTGTTTTTGAGAAAATTTCGATTAAACCTGACACGAAAATTTTAAATTATTGAATAAAATCTATTAAAATCCGACCACTATTCGAAGTTAATTTTATTTTTTCTCAGCTTAACACTCTCACCCGTCCTATCTCCCAAGATCCTATCCCTTTAAATGAGGGGTTTCCACATTCATTTCTTTACCTAATTTTAACACATTCCAATAGAAAGGCATACCTTTTGTATACTCTCGTCCCGTACTTTCACGGCGCTTTCCTATTGGAGAGTACCTTCTTTATTACGCCTGCCTTTTTATTAGAATATTTTTATGTAAAATAGAAATATTTTATTGTTGTTAATTAGGTATTTTACAAATTTTCGAGAAAAAAAAATACTTACCAATTATCAAAAATAATTCACTTAATAAATCATTTATTTTCTGTGTAGTCCAAGTTCGACAGCAAAATTTTTATTTTTTTATTTTTTTTAATTTTTTTCTTTGCAAAAATTTTTCGAAAAATAAAAATAAATTAGAAAAAAGGACAATAAAAATAAAAAAAATTTTTTTCTCTCCTTTTCTCGAACATTCTTTTAACATCTAGAGAAAGCGTCGTTTCTTCTCCTTTCCTCTCTCTCATTTCCCCTTTAATCGCCTACTTTATTTAATTCGCCAAAAACGATGTGAGCTTTAACAATTTATTATATTTAATGCTTTTATTCCTTGGAGTATTTTTTTAATTGTAAAAAATTATAGCATCAGTCAAGAAAATAAAAATAATCAACAAATAAACATTCCATTTTAATTAATCCGCAAAAATTTTTGCGGATTAATTTTGCGGACAATAATTTTGGATCTTAATTAAATTTCTTTATTTAGCGGATTTATATATAAGGCTTCTCCAATATTATTTTTGAGAAGTAAAATTTTTTGTTTAGCAAAGGAGCGGAAGACTTTTTTCGCTTGATGCCTGAGAATATAAAAAAATTGATGCATACATGCTACCTTTATGGTCTAATTAATACTTTTCATGTCTAATTTAATACTTTTTAACTAGGGTTGCTCGTTTTCGGTTATTAACCGGTACCCTAGGTTTTCGGTTATGGCCGGTTTTCGACCCCCGGTTTTCAGTTTTTGACTTACCCCGATTTTTGGTTAACCGAAACCGGTTTTTGACTAAATTTCTCATCCAGAATATCCCATTCATATTTTATTCAATTAAAATACTTTAACATCTACTCTGTGAATCAGGCGCTGAATAATTTTAAAATTTCAACAATTTGAGGGAGAACGGAACATGTCGGAGAGCGGAACATCTCGGATAGAGCGGAACATGTCGGAATTCCCTTTAAGACTGTACGGGCAGTGAAGGTTTCCTTCACGCCTACCAAATAAAACAAAAAAAGGAAATTGTTTATTGGTATAGGACACTTGAGGGGTTATCTACCTTGTAATGGAGAGCTTCCAGAGCAAGTCCCAACCATTCTGCTATTTTCTGGGATCAAGTTAGGCTGCTTTTCTCTCCCCCAAATTTGTATTAGTCAAATAGGGTTGTTCCCCGACTGTAAAGAGGGCCGCGGGGAAAAAATTCCCCGACTTTCGGAGACGGGAACAACCCTTTAGTCAAATAGCTTAACGAAAAAAAATTTAAAAATTAAAAAAAAAAAGAATTTTTCGATTAATAATAAGCTTCGTTACTAAATTATATTTTTCCTCATTTTACATATTTTCCTTAGCAAAATAACTGCACAAATAAAAATAAAATTATTTTTGTTTACCCATTCTAAATTTTGTCTTTATTTTAAAAAACTGTCCAATATTGTTAACTAAATTCTTATCTTTTATTTAAAAATGTTTCCTTATTTTATGGCCCATAAATTTTATTCTTATGATGAAAACGAATGATGCTATTCTTTAGAGTCAGCAAAAATTTTGTCCGCAAAAATTGTCCGCAAATTTTTTGCGGACAATTTTTTTTTTCTTTTAAGTCAGTCACAAAAATAGAAATTAAAAAAATTTACATCTCTTTATTATCTTATTTTTTAATACTTTATTCATTTTATTAATTCTATTTAATAATTTTTTTACCTTTTTTGCATATTTTTTGATTAAATACGCACAGAGAATCCCCACAAAAACCATGCCTTTTAGGCGCAGTAACATTTGGGCGAGCATTCATAAAATTGTCAAATTAAGAGTTAGAGTCGTGAAATTTTGTAGAAATGTTAATAATACTCTTAGCTAACTTGACTAAAAATTTCAGAATTTTCTGGTGAAAATTAGTAGAATTATGAGCGAAAATGCCAAAATTTTGCAAAAAAATGCCAAATTTTCATGGGTTTTCGGTTATAACTTTTGAAATACCGAACCAAAAATTCTGAAATTTTTATTCAAGTCAGGTAACTCTATTACAAAGTTTTTCCCAAAATTTTACTTCTCTACATGCTCATCTGACTATTTTATTAACGAAGTAAACGGAAATGCCAAAATTTCTAGCAAAAATGCCTTTTTTCATGTTTTTTGCGGGTTTTCGTCCCTAACGTTAGAAATACTGTACCAAAAATTCTGAGATTTTCAAACCTGTTGGGTAACTCTATTACAAAGTTTTTCCCAAAATTTTACTTCTCTACGTGTTCATCTGACTATTTTATAAATTCCCGCCCAACCCTTACCAACGCCCCTAAAACCCTCTTTACCAACCACTTTTAACCCTATCAAAAATAATAAATTTTCTTTTTTTCATTTTGTTATCGATAACGTGTCGTATATTTACCATTCTTTGTGGTCCTTAAACTCTTTTTTCTCTTTTCTTTTTTTTTACTTTTTATTTGGGACGAATTGTCAATCAGTCAGATGGTCGGGGATTTTTTTCCCTTAAACACCCGTAATAAATAGGAGGGCAAACACACGCCTTCCATTCATTCTCTCCCTTTCTTCTCTTCATTTTCTCTTTTATTATAAAATTTTTTGGCCATTGCAAAGTTGTTTGTGAATTACTTAAACCTCTTTATTTTACGAGAATTTTATTAAATAATAAATTTTGTTGTTGATAAAATTATTTTTTTAAAATTTTTCTTTATCTTTTTTCTTAAAGTGTTTATTACAAAATATAGAGGAATATTTATTTTGTTTTTGATTAATTTGTTAATATTTTTGTTTTAAAATTGTTTTCGAAATAATTTTTTTAAAAAGTCGTCTTAATTAAGTCCGCCCTCCTCTCTCATTCTCTCTCCTATGTATTCGACTTTTTAATCTTCACTCTGAATCATGTAAATGTGTCTTCCGTGTTAATTGACCTCTCTTGTTCATTTCTTGTTTGACGTTTCAATTTTCAGCTTATATGTATGTATTACTTGATATTTTTATTTTTTAAATACCTAAGCAAGGCATATGAAGTTTCCTCCTCTCAGCCTATCAAACAAAACAAAAACGAATTCATTCCTTTTGTCGTGGAAAGCCGGGCTAATAATAACCCTGACTCGGGAACTTTGAGAATCTTTGTACCTCTTGAGTTCTGTCAAACATGGCATAAGTCAAACTGTCGCGTAAAAATTTGGAGAGTACTAATTGTCTCTCCATAAAAAAATAATCAACGCAATTATACTTCTTCAAATCATAGTTAAAATTAAATAAACTTATATAAAATTATTATTGTATTTTTATATATTAAGTAAATCCCCTTTAAATTCCAACCTTGTTTCTCTTAACAGCCTTAAACTTTCTTTTTAAATTTAATTTTCTTTCCAGAATTCGATAAACTATTTAATTACTGCCAAAATCAAACTACTAACAAATACTTCAATTAACTGATTAACACAAAAATGTGTCGTTTTCAATGTAGCGATCCAAAAACTTGTAAAGTACCTAAATATGCTTTAGGATCACTCAAACAACAATTATTAACTTCAACTACAACAGATTCATTTAATCAGAATTGCCCTCCTTCCCCTCCTAAATTTGTGCGGAATCGGAGTGTTTCATGTAAGGGAGCTTTTTTGAATTTTAAAATTGTCCTAAGTTAAACCTCCGCCACAGATACACTAACTTGGTGACTAAAAAAATATCTTTATTGAGGTTATCTTAGAATGAGGTGTCGTTATGATAGTTCCCTCACCAAGTGGCCAACTAAATTTTAAAAATATCTTTTGTCTAGGAGTTGATTCCCTTTCATTTTCCAATCGGTTTGGTCCTACTTCTACAATTCCCCACTTGGGTACAATGCCACTCTTGGCTCTTATAATTGGAGTCTGATTTAGTCTGATAATTTTCAATGTCCAATAGAAGCCTTGAACACTATTAATTCTCAACCTAATTCCTAAATATCGCAAGCTCGTATCCCAAAGCGTATCATTTTGTATGGTATGTGATCAAATGCCTTCCCTTTAGTTTTACTTTATAGGGAGAGTCTTATGATTCGAAGATTCGTATTTTAAAAAATATTTTTCAGTTTTTTCTGGCTCCTCAGATTCAGAATATTCTAGTAGTGATGATGAATGCTTCCCCTTCGAACAAAATATTCGGCAAAAGCAACGTTTCTCTCCCTTAAATACACCAGAATGTCTTTCAACAGACAATTTAACAATACCTGAAATTACAACGATGACCTCAAATGAATCTTCTGTTGATTCTGGTTTTGTTGAAGAGGAGAAAACTTCAAAAAAGGTGAATAAATTGAATAAAGATGGGAATTTTAAGAGAAAGTTGTTGTTTGCTTGAGCTAACATATTTCGGTCAAATAAGCACCTAAAATTCTGAAATTTTGCACAGAACACGTTTATTATATTTTACAACAGTTCTAAAAATTTCAGAATTTTTTATTAATTTCTGATTGAGTTCTGGTCGAAAATATACGTCAAACTGTCAAAAAACGTTGAGTTGTAGTTACCTTTTCGACCATAACTTGGGAAATAATGAACTAAAAATTCTGAAATTTTTAGAGGGGTTAGAAAATGCATTGCAGAACAGCTTCACAAAATTTCAGATTTCTAACTTCACTAAAAAAATTTTTTATAAATAAATAATTAACGTTGGTTCATGGATACAATGCCTACAAATTAATTAGAAAAATAAACTTTTTTTTAATTTAATAAATTTAGGCAGCAATCGAAACCAAAGAAGAAGAAGCTAAAGAAGATGTTAAGCCCCAAATAAAGTCAATTTTGCTCAAACAAAGATTTATAGTCGAAGAAAAACCAAAAAAGAAAGTCAAATTTGCCGATGATTGCGGCCAGTTTTTGTGTAAAGTTCGGTGTATTCCCGCAAGAGAAAAAATTGATATTTTGTGGAATGATGTTGTTGATTTAAGGGAGACGAGTAGGGCCGATAATGGTAAAATTTTAAATTTGAAAAAGATTTTATAAAAATTTTTTCTTTAGATTCTACGAGTTGGAGGGATGTTCTATTGTTTAAATTAATTATGACTGCAGGCTTTAGGCAAGCTTTCTTTTTTGGAAATTAGTTATATTTGGCTGTCGAGGGTAATTCCAAAAAACCTTTTGGCCCATAAGACCTCTAATTTTTAAGAGAATATCAGAAGAGAATATCAAGGGATTTGGAAGGAATAAGGGGATATCGAGGGATTTAGTTTTTAAAGGGGATATGGATCTCTATCAACCCAGAGTTTAGGTACACACTAAAAATATGGCACCATTGGTTCTAAAATACATACTGGGTACATATCTTCGCAAAGCTGGGTATTTATCCTCCTTAATCCCTCGATATTCGCTTTAAGGTTTAGGGAGTCTTTTGGATTCAGGTCTTTTGGGGTTGACTCGGCTGTCGTTATCTTCAGCCTTACTTGAGTATTTCCTTCTCTTTTTTTAATCAAATAAAATTTTCCCCTCTTTTTTCGATGGGAGAGGGGATTATTTTTCCATATTGATAAATTTATTATTTTCAAGGACGTTCCCAAAATTTTTCGAAATTTTTGTCAACGAAAACGGGTGTCTTCCTCGATTTCCCCCAATCTCTTTCTTGGTGCTTACTTTCCCTTCTCGTCTTCCTAAATTTATGTTAAACCCCCTATCTACTTTGTTAATTCCCCCAACCAACCCCTCAATTCTTTTTTTCTCTAAAATTTTTAAACGACCAAAGAATTAGTTAATATTCGGTGATTAAATTTATTATATTAGTTTTGATAACACAAATAAAAAACGTTTCTTCTAGTAATAAATGTCATTTTCAATAATTGAAAAAAATTTAGAGGGAAAATAGTAAAATAGAAATGACATTAAAAAGGTTCTTTTTCGATGAGGGACGATCGGTATCGAGTTAACGAAAAAAATAACCTCTGACGTGTTCACTTTGAACTAAAACATAAAAGGCTCTTTTCTTCAATAGGAAAATGTCTTTGGTCTGTGTAAAATTTTAGAGAAGAAGAAGATTCAAGACCCGATGGCCATAGGTCCTTAAACCAATCTAGTAGCTGTTCTTAGTACATTAACAGTTAATCAGTTATGTCCTCTGATATTTCAGCTCCTATATTTTCACCTTTTCTATCAAAAAAATTTTTTTAATAAAATAAAAATTTAATTTATTTCAGTGTTGGAACTCCATTAAATTCCTCTACAACAACCTCTAATAATAATATTTGTGTTGGCGGGACAACCAACAAACCGGTTAACAACGGATTAGGATTTGCCTAAAAATAGAAGGAAATAAAGCAGCTGGGAAGCACTTTTAGAGAGCCATTTAACACACAAACACATTTCCAGATTTTTTCTTTTGATTTTTTTAAAATTTTTAATAATTAATTTAATTTTTTAATTCTTTTCCCTATGGATAAGGCTATAAAATTCTCAAAAATTGAAAAAAAATTTTTTAGTAATTTTTTTCCCTCTAAAAATGTTTAAAAATAAATTACGTACACTCTACTTATTTTTTAAAAAATTTTACACAATAGTTAAAAATTTATTTAATTGAAATTTACCTAAAATAGCGCCTATTCCCCCTTCAATTTTTAATATTGCAAAAACATTTTATAATTTTTGACTTTTCTATAAATAAACTTGGCTTGTTTAAATATGCCTATTTTAAAGCTTTTATAGGCTTCAGTTAATATTATTATTTAAATCAGGGATGTCACGGGTTGAGAAAAATGTCGGGTCGGGTTTCGGGTCGGGTTTCCAAAATTTTCTTCGGATCGGGTTTCGGGTTGAGCAAAAAGTCGGATCGGGTTTCGGATCGGGTTTTCAAAATTTTCTTCGGATCGGGTTTCGGGTTTCGGGTCGAAAAAAAGCCAAAATTTTGAGAATTTTGGAAGGCCAAAAAGCCAAAAATCTTCCCTTCTCAGCGCCGCAGGCGAAAATTTTGAGAATTCTTGAAGGTCCTAAGCCAGATTTCTTCTTTTTTCAGCGCCGCAGGCGAAAATTTTCAGAATTTTGGAAGATCATTAAGCTAAAAATCTTCCCTTTTTCTGCGACGCGGGCGAAAATTTTGAGAAAACTCGGGTCGGGTTTCGGGTCGGGTTTTGAAAAATAAAAATTCTCGGGTCGGGTTTCGGGTCGGGTTTTAGAAAATTTCTCGGATCGGGTTTCGGGTATCGGGTCGAAAAAAAGGCCGGGTTTCGGGTTTCGGGTATCGGGTTTCGGGTAACCCGTGACATCCCTGATTTAAATGTTGCTATAAAAGCGTTAAAATATGCTTGTTTAATAGAAAATGTTTTAATTGTTTGAAAACAAGTTTATTTAATTCAGTACATGTTTTATTTGACTAAAACATGTTTAATTAAATAAAACATGTTTTGTAAAAATAAATCAAGTTTATTTTTCATAAAACAAGTTTATTTATTACAAAAACATGTTTTTAGCGACTAAAACAAGTTTTATTGACTAAAACTTGTTTAGTTAACTAAAACTTGTTTAATGATCTAAAACAAGTTTGTTAAATATTAAATCAACCTTATTTAATATTTAAAAAGCCCCTAGTTTCTCTTCTGAACAAGTTTGTTAAAAATATAAATTAACGGTTATTAAAGTTTATTTTTGGAAACAGTTTAACATTAAAGTTTCTGCAACTTTAAATGCTTAATATTAAATATATTATTATTTTTTGTTTTTTAATCTCTTAAAATGAATAATTAACCTCTCCAGCTGTGTGCGTAATTTAATGCCAATTTTCACAGTTTTTTAGTTTTTTTTTTAAGTTTTTTGTTAAAGCTAGAATTTTATATGTTATGTTAACATTTTATTAATCTTATTTACTCTATTTTCTATATTTAATGCAGTTTTTAAATTTAAATATTTTAATATATTATATGTATTGTAATAAATAATTAATTTAAATTGAATAAAGAGATTATGAAAATTTTTTCTAACTTTTTTAAAAATTATTTTATTTGTCAAAAGTATGTTACTTTTTTAGTATCCAACTCCCAAACCCAACTCCGAAGGCGCTAACCCTACTAGAAAATCTCGTATGTGGGTTATAGTAATTTTAAATTATATAATTTTTCTTACATTTTTTTCGTTCAAATTTATTTAAAATTAATTTTTCTTTTTTGCGGGGTTCCTATTTAATCTTTTTTTAATTTTCGTTTTAAATTTATCCCAAAATTTTTTAATATTTTCTACATTTTTTAAATTTTAATAGAATTCTGCAAGAAACTTTTTTTTCAAAATTTAAATTGCCCATTTTAATAAAAATGTGTTGGAAAAATATTAGATTTTAAAAGGAAATCGTCAATTACCTAAATATATAAGAACATAAAAACGTGTTGTGTATTATAGTATCTCTAAAATTTTTCAATTTTCTTTAAAAATTTTAAAAATTTTCTTTTATTCATATTTTCAATTTTTTAACAATTCTTTGCTCAATTTATTTTTGGAAAATTAAAAAAATTTCAAAACTGAACACTTTTTAGGGTTTTCTCTCCGTTTTTTTTGCTGTACTTCTTTTTGTTCTGAAATTTTTGAATTTTATTAGTCTATTTTCTTACTCTGTTGATACTCTTCATTATGTAATTTATACCCTTCGAATAAATTACTCAACAATCTTACGTCAGTATTTTAAATGAAAAAAATAATTTTTAAATTTTAAAAGAATTCTACTTAATATATAATAATTGAATAATTAGTTTACCTAAGTTTTTAAAAGCTGACTTGAATCGTCAAAATTTTGCCTCGGAGTAATATTTTTGGATGGGGAGCCTTTTTGGGTTCTCCAAACTTTTTCGCTAATTATGATTACAAGAGAACATAAATTAATCTATTTACCGTATTTCCTATATTAGAGCCCCACCCTCTGTTAGAGCCCCACCCTTTAATACAGCCCCACTTTGGAGGGTAGTTGAAAAATAGAGCCCCACCCTCAATTAGAGCCCCACCCCTAATACAGCCCCACCTAAAAATATTGGAGGAAAAATAAAAAATATCCCAATAATTTTTAAGATTATTAAGAGTTAAGGAAATAAAGGGCCATGGGGATATAAGGATTAAGGGAAATATGAGGGATTAACTAAGGGGAAAAGGAAGAGATATAGTGGGTATTCCTTTTATCCCCGATAGATATCCCTTATATCACCGATATCCCTCTTCACAAAAAAATCCCTTCATATGCCTACTAATACCTCATTCAAAATATCACTCTTAACCCCGCTAAATCTCTCAATATAAAATTAATCCTCTGATATTCCCCATAATCCCTTAAAATCGCTTGTATACCTATATATGATCCATCAATGTCAAATACAAGTCCCCTAATATTCCCTTTAATCCGTCAAAATCTACAAATATTTTATAATTAATCTTACCCTCATTGAACTATTGCGATTATTTCGTTACTCATTGCTTATAAAATTTTAATTTTTTTGAAAAATTGAAAAATATCGATTGTCTTTCGATATTTTTTGGTTTTATCAACCAACCCCTCCGGCCTATCTCTAGTTGCAATGGATATAATAAATGGGATTCTATCTCAAAAGAGGGTTGAAAAATAGAGCCCCACCCTCAATTAGAGCCCCACCCTTTAATACAGCCCCACCTTGGAGGATAGTTGAAAAATAGAGCCCCATGGGGCTCTAATATAGGAAATACGGTAATATATAAAGATGCGTTATTTATTTCATATAAGCATAATGAAAAAGTAGTAAATATTTCTTCTTGAAGCACCTGTGGATATTTTTGGATGGGAAGTCGGTTAAGGCTTTCCAAATTAATCTTCAGGTTCTCAATGTTCTACTGGTAAATGTTTTCTAATAGCTAAAGTGATATTGCGTTTTTGACCAAAATTCATTAATTATTCTTTAAACTAATTCACTTTTTGTCGGATCGGATAAATTTGAAATAAACGGCCAAGTCAACCGGCCTTGACGTCGTTTCTGAACTGTGAAACCATCAATGGCAACTTGAACGCGGTCCAGGATTGTATGATAGAGATCCCCATTAAATCCGATGCCTCTAGGAATTAATTCCCAGTGTACCAGGGCTGGGCGATTTCGCATTTTCGCGTTTCGCATTTTTCACATTTTTTGGCGCGAAAAGTTTCGCATTCCGCATTTCGCTTTTTATTTTTTCATTTCGCCCAGCCCTGCAGTGTACAATCAAGGGGCTCATTCTTCTCAAAGGGCTCATTCTTTTTGGGTTAACCCATTAATATATAAAATTTCATTAATAATTTTAACTAAATTTATTAAAAGTTTGGTTGAAACGTAGGGCCATTTGTAGAAAATACAGATAATATTTTTGAATGGAGCATATTAGGATGCTCCAAATCATTTATTTTTATCAGTGTTGGAGTGCAATAGGTGCATAAAATTTCTAAAATTATAATTTGCTAAAATAATTACCCTTTACAGCTAAGTGTAATAGAGTAATTTGTTATTTAAGAAAATAAGTAGTTTCTTGATAATTCTCAATTTTGAAAAAACTAGAATTTTTAGATTTTAATGTATTATATTTTTTAAATAATTTTAGTAATATAAACACTAAAAAGTTAAGAGTATTCTTCAAGAAGTCCTGTCTCGGAAAATTTCAATATTTTAAAACATCCTAGAGTTTTTACAGTCTTTATCTTTGTATTGTGTTTTTAAATTTCCTTAGCTACTCAATTTTTTAATATTTTTTTATCATTGTTGGATAAAAAAAATTTTTATATAATAAAAAATTTGTTGGATAAAAAAATAAAAAAAATTTTTTTTTTATCATTGTTTCCTTAGCTACTCTATTTTTTAATACTTTAAGTAATAAAAATAGTTTTTTTCTATTTTTGGCAAACTATTTCCGCTATTTAAAATATTCGGAAAAAGAAAATTTTTTAAAAAAAGCGTAAAAAAGCTTGTCCTGTGGAAATTAGGTTGTTTCTAATTTTGTTAATTCCATCAAACCAAGCTGATTTTGATGCCATTCGACTCATCTCACTGATATCTTTCTAACAGATAACTTGTTATTTTTAAAAACGATGGTAGGCAGTTAGGCCAAACCTTTTAAATAATTACCCTCTCCAGTTATAAGTTGATAAAATAATTACGAAGATTAATTATATAAAAATCCCATAGCTCAAATTCTACATAATATATAAGAATTCAATATCTTTTTATTTAGGAATGTTATAAAAATTTTCACAGTCTTTTCAAAATAAGCAAATTATTTTTGAATGGGGAGTCAACTGGACTACCCAAATTATCCTTTAATATATGTATT